GGCTTAACCAGCTCAAACCCCCCCCGGGCACATCGTCACATTCTCATCCGAGGAACGGAGAAACCGGGGACTTGAGGAGGTGTGAATGGGACCGGAGGAGTGCAGATTGTAGATTATGTAATGTTGTAGAGGTTTTGTGTGGAGTGTTGCTGAAAGGAGAGATGCTGAAGACATGTGAGTTTTCTAATTACAGGTTTCTAGAAGAGAATGAAAAGAAAGAATGAGGATGCAGGCGTGACGTAACACAATATAAACCTGAGCTTAAAGGGCTAGTAACATTTGACATCGTCGACTTTCCCTCATATGACTCCAATCCCTGTCGCCCGTGGAACACAAAAGGAGAAGTTTAGCAGGATGTCCTGGCTGCTCTTTTCAATACAATGAAAGTGAATGAGGACTGAGGCTGTTGACCTCCAAAAATGACATTCAAATTACTTTATTTGCACTTAATTCCAAATCATCCAAATGCCATCTGAGATCTAACAGACGATTTTTAAAGAAATTAATACTTTTATTCAGCAGGGACACATTAAATTGATCACAATTAACAGTAAAGAAATTCATAAAATTTCTATTCCACATAAATGCTGTTCTTTTAATCAAAGAATCCTGCAATAAGAAATGTATATCACGGTTTCCACAAAAATATGAAGCAGCACAACGGTTTTCAACATTGGTCATAATCAGAAATGTTTCTTGAGCAGCAAATCAGCATATTAGAATGATTTCTGAAGGATCATGTGACACTGAAGACTGCAGGACAGGAATAAATGAAATAGAAAAAAATTGTTCAATTATATTAATATTTCACAATATTACTGATTTACTGTATTTTTAATGCAGCCTTGATGAGCATAAGACTTCTTTAAAAAATATACCGCCTCCAAACTTTTGAACAGTAGTGTACGTTTAAATATGGTGCTTTGAGATAAATCGTTATTGTCGTAAAGTTATTGTATGGCTTCAGATTACTTTTAGTATAGTGTACAATTTGCATAGACTACTTTTTAATAATGTGTTGACATTTCTCCCCAGTCTCTATTTACTCTCAATGGGTCTCATTCATGAAACATTCGTAAATATACGAGTAGATATGCGAGTGATTTGCGCGTAAAGAGACCTTCCCGAAAACTCATCTCCTGATTCACAAATACTTCGTAATCGTCAGATGTGATAGTGAAATGTGTGTGTTAATGAATTCCAATCAGTCGTAAATGGGACGCTCATTCTCAATTACCATAAATCCCGCCCATTAAATCCGACTGACAACTATATATGGGCATCATATTATGACACCAAACGAAGGATTTCAACGTGTCTTCTCAAAAACGAACGAAAAAGAAAAATTTCTCAGATGCAGAAATCGAAGTTTTATTATCAGAAGTTCATTCAAAACACCACATTTTATTTTCAAGCTTAGGCTACATAGTGGCGTATCAGGTCCTAAAAAATGCAAGCTTGGCAGCATATTACAGATGCAGTTACTGGAGTTTCATCTGTTAATCAAACAGTCCCAGAATTGAGAAGAAAAACCGTATGTAATTACTATATATAATATTTTTTCAAAATGCTGTGTAAATATGTAACCGATTAAGGTGAATTAAAATGCAGCCTAGTTATTAATGAGCAAAAAGTTTGGATGTTAAACTCACTATTTACGCGTGGCTGGGAGCAGGTGTAGATTTCTTTCGTACCAACTAACATTTGGAAAATACGAACATTTTAATGAATCCGAAAATTTACGCCAGAACCACTTTACACACGATTTACACAAAAATCCGTTCTGCTCGTGTTTCATGAATGAGACCCAATGTCGGCCTGATATCTTCTTTTCTGTTCCATGTTTAGAATGACATGATGGAGAGTAAATTATGACAAAACCTTCATTATTAGGTGAACTATCCATTTAACTCAGGCTGAGCGAAGTCAGGCTGTGTTGCTTGGCTGGATTCCTTTCTATTGCATTTGAATTTCCCTTATAGTGTAATGAGACTCTAACTGGTCCAATAAGGGCATCAGCCTGACTCAGCTGGATTGTAATGGCCTGGAAGGTCCTCGTGAGAACGGAACGTCTTTAATTCAATTCTAAAGCTGCTGTAATTGCTTGTTTTCCAGTCTCACTGAAAACAGAACCTCAAATTCATCCACCTGCAGTTTCCTGGAATAAGATGCACCTGTGGCACTGCATACACACACACACAATCACACATTTTCACAAACTCAAACTCAATTTCAAAGTATTATCTCAGAACAAGGCTGTCTGGTCGTATACACACAAGCACACATGATAACACACAAAAGCACACCCAAAATCAATTTCAAAATACATTTTTTTTTTCTATTTCATCTGATGCACTCACAATAACACATCCACTCGCTCAAAGTCATTCTGTAAAGCGCTGTGGAACATGTCCTGTCAAAAATAACCATTGAACTGAAAATAACACAAACTGCCTCTGAAAAGACGGTAAAAGTCTCCGAAAATCACATGTGCTTTGAGTCTCAGATGGGTTTGAGCTACAGTATTGACTAGGCCTGTCATGATTCTTACATAAAGATACAATGAAAATATCATTAATAATGACAATAATAATAGGGATGTGCACGTGAAGATAGTAAGGAGAGATGACTGACAGAACAATGTCTGAGGAAGTCATTGACATATCTTATCTTGTGAAATGTGTGGTCAGTACCTCCTCTCCCTTTACACAGAGCATTCGTGATCGCGAATTGGAAAGTAAAAGTGAAAAAGCGAGCGTGCATTCAAAAGTGATTTCAATACCCCGTATATTGATATCAGCTTCCCGATACCCGCAAATTACAAACAACATAATTGCGAGAAAACACAAAAGCATTGAAGAAAAAAAATCGTATTATTTTTCCATCACCATGTCCCTTTAGGGCCTCCGTAGAATGCGTCATTTCCTTTCCGAACATAGTATTTGGCTTCCGGCACATCCCTACTAATAATAAACATTATGTTAACAATATAATATTATAAATTATTGTATAATAATTATGCACTTTGAAAGCACCAAAGTGGTCTAAACCATAGATATGTATACATAGATCCCGCACATTCGACAGCTCCAGACACGTACCTCAGACAGTGAGAATCAGTGATGCCACAACATCACACAACTTCTGTTTGTTCCCCCCAAAAAATGGGATTAACCTTTCACATGCTGGTGAGAATGTGTTGATTTGTGTTTTTATATGTATTAACTCAATATTACAGGTTTTTATGGTACGCTTTAATGTTTTTACTTTTACTATGGTGATTTTTTAATGTCGTGTTAGCTGATGCCTTTGTCTTGTGTTGTGATAGTTGAGCAAAACCATCTGCTGAAGTCTATATGTTGATATAGATATCCATTCATGCGGTTGCAAACGCTCAGTCAACTTGCTTTGATCGTTCCAATATGGCAGACGGCTTACGTATAGCGCCCCATAGACACATAATCTATGTATATATATATATATATATATATATATTTGGTCCATACGCTGTAAAAAAAAGATATTTCAAAATTGTAAATAAAACAACGATTATTGGAGTGTTTTACAAAAAAATAACTTAGTTCTTCAAAATTTCACATTTACTGTTACTTGCTGTTCCATTGTAATTATTTGTGAAATTTTAGAACATTTCTGTGAATTATTATTATTAGGGCTGTCAAACGATTAATCGCGATTAATCGCATGCAAAATAAAAGTTTGTGTTTACATAATATATGTGTGTGTACTGTGTATAATTATTTTTAATACATAAATACCCACACATGGATGTATATACTGTATATAGACTGAATGTAGCCTATATATAATGTATATTTTATATAAATATAAACATTTTATATATAAATAACATATTTTTCTTAAATATATACATGTGTGCATTTATATACAAAATAATTATACACAGTACACACACATACATTATGTAAACACAAACTTTTATTTTGGATGCGATTAATCGTGATTAATCGTTTGACAGCCCTAATTATTATTATTATTATTTGTTTTTAATATATCCTACAAGTGTACGACTTGATAGCAAATACTCCACTTCACATCAACAACATCAAACGCTGTTCTCACGTCAAACCTGCTCCATATTTTATACTTTTATAGTGTTATTTTATTTATTTATTTTGTGTATAGTGTTTTTTTATGTTAAATTTAATTGATTTTTTTTTCTTTTTGGAGCTGGATAGCCGCAACTATTAAAATATCTATGAGAAGATTCTTCCAAATGTCTACTTCCTCCAGAAATACCTATTAATGGCATATGGGTTAATAAAGATATGACGGGGAGTAAATAATAACAGCAGATAATTGCCTTGTTGACTGGTTTCACTAATTGTTAGTAACATTGACAGGATCCGCCCGGCTCCTCCTCACACCAATCCCGTCCTCGGGATCTTTCCGTTAGCCGCTCTGACTCCACTTCAACCCCTCCCCCAAATTCCCAGCTGCTGCGCTCACCCCATATACAGAAGCGTTCTTTCCCAGCTCACTTCCCATGATTCCCAGTCACCTCCAGTCAGCCCTCATGTTTCAGTCATTCAGTCCAGTCAGAGCAGAACTGGACATGCTCGTTTAACACCAGACAAGCCTTTGATATACAACACACTAGGACGGACATGGAGAAGTCCCACCACAAGAGTTTAGACAGTCCTGGAAAGACGGATAAGTGTAGTGTTCACATTGGCACATCCGGATTTAATCAGTCTTTTGTGGGCAACGGAAAAGGATTATTTAGAAGCCACTGTGATCATCTCCACCCTGTCACTTTGTACTATGGATCTGGGATTTAATCAGATTCGGACTGCAATAGTCTGTGCATTTCAAGAAAACGCGGATGTGACAAACTGTGTGTAAGCATCACTGTACAATGTGCCCAGGTTTAAATGAGTGCGTATAATAGCAAGAATGCTCGGCTTAGATGAACTCAACTTTTTTGACGTCCTCTCATTATGTGTCTTCTGTCCCATTAGCCACCAGTTCGGCCCACCTGGAGGACTTGGCCTATTTGGATGAGCAGAGACACGCGCCCCTGCGCACCTCCCTGCGGATGCCCCGCCAGAACTCGTCCTCGGGACGCTCCGGGCAGGACCTGCGAGGTGAGCATCGGCCTGTCTAGTGTGTCCAGTCGCTTAGCTTTGATTTATATCACCCTGATCCTGTGCATGGATGCCAACTCGCAAATATATTTGGTTTGATGTCAAAAAATTGTCCACAGACCAGCGTTTAGCCTCATTCTCTCATTCTTCTGGCGCCGCTGTTCTTCCTCTGTCCCGATGCGAGTGTGTGTGGTGAAGGCAGGGCTGCGTCTCTGTCTCTGTGCGTTACTGTCTGTGTGTCTGAGACGCTGCGTTTAACCTCGTAGGATTTATGTATTTTAATTGCATGTAAAATTTGGATTACACAGTTTTAACATAAACATAATATGATGCATATTTGTCAGTCATACATAAATGAAACTATTTCTGTAATAGTACTAATAAACTGGAAGTATTTGAAATACACAATAACCAGCTTTATATATTTATCATCAATAAATCCAACTTGTTTCAATCTCATACATGTTAACTAACTGAATATTTCTTGTTTCACAGTTCTTAATTCTTTACGTTTTTACAATGAACGGATTTATGCTGATTCTAATAATTTAGGGTCCAATTCTCACTATTAACTAACTTTTGCCTCAATAAACTCCTAATTACTGCTTATTAATAGTTATTAAGGCAGTTGTTAAGTTGAGGTATTGGGTGATTAAGCGATGTAGAATATGTTCATGCAGAATAATGCATTAGTACGTGCTTTATAAGTACTAATAAACCGCTAATATTCTAGTAATATGCATGCTAATAAGCAACTAGTTAATAGTGAGAATTGAACCCGAAACTAAAGTGTTACAGATTCTTTAAATAAAGTCAAATAGATGCAATTTAATAAGGGTTCAAATAAACTATGACATGATGTTTTTAGAGTGCAGAAATCTTACCCGTTTAATTTATGTATAAATTACAAATATGCTTCGCATTACATTTATTAGTTCATTTATGTTAAAACTGTGTAATCCAAATGGATGGACATTTTTATATCGTCACTGTGGGGCGGTAACCTCATACTGTTAAAGACAGTACTGGCTGTGACTCGACGACAAATGCTAAGACACTCTTCTCCACTCCTCAAATACATAAAACATTACTGTTTTTTACTAATATATATATATATTTCTTAAGTAAAGAAAACGCTGCACTGTACAAACTGTATGCCGCACTTCATTCACGATTTACGAGGTTTGACAGGTCAGGAGGATCCAATGAAGTTACGAGGTTAAATCACAAGCTCTTTTTAATACTTTTCATTGGTTAAGCTTTTGCAAAACCCACAGAAAGATGTGAAGGCTGACCAGTAGTTGATTTATGAAAAGTAATAAAAATGACGAAATATGGAGATACAAGGTTTCTGCCCTACAGCAACAATATGCAATTTAAGTCCATAAATCTTAAATTTAGGGGCTAAATATGTTTTGAGTGCTAAACATGCTCGTGTAAAGAGAGTAGAAACTGATTTAACAGACTCTGTTGATGTCCACTGGGCGAGGAGGACACATCTCAGCACACACACTTTATCTTCATCAGCTAATGAGGAATCCAGGGCCTTGGCGTGACCTCGAATCCTCTGTTTCCCCAGACGCACACACACACTCACACACACACACACACACACACACACACACACACACACACACACACACGCCTGCTGGTCTGCTGAGCCACTCTCACCTGGTGAATAATTAAAATAGCTCTCTGCATCCGGTTTGCTATCAGGAGAGAGAATGCAAAGGTGACTCTCATGATATGATATGGATTATTATTAAACAGAGCCGCGAGGAACCATCGTCCTGACAGCAACTAACGGTTAGAGTTAAACTCAAGCCCAACATCCAAGACATGTTTTAGCCACAAAACACACACACACGCGCACACACACTCACACACACGTCTGGTTTACTATCTTTGTGAGGACTCTCCATAGACGTAATGGTTTTTATACTGTACAAACTGTATATTCCATCCCCTATCCCTAAACCTACCCATCACAGGAAACATTTTGCATTTTTACATTTAAAAAAATAATAATTCTTTATGATTTATAAGCGTGTTTACCTCAATTTAAGTCCCCACAGTGACACGAGTCCCCATGAATCTGTGTGCATTCAGGTTTAAGTCCCCACCGGGATAGAAAAACATGTACACACACGCACACACACACACGCACACACACACACACACACACACACACGCGCTCACAAAATAGGAATTGTTATATAATTATAATGGAATTAACAAGGCAACAACAAACATTAAAATTCACATTTGATAAATTAGTTTAGCTAAAAAAAATAATCAAAAGTTGTGTTGCAAAAATAGCTAATATTTATAACTTCTATCACAATCAGATTAAACCAGTTAAGATTAAATACCG